TCTGTTGAATCGTTTACTGTAGGTAAGATTGCCTTTTTATCATCCATATTGTTCGAAGAATCAGCCATAACTAAACAAACAAAAAGAAGGAAAGAATGACCGAATTGTTTTGTGAAAAATATAAAATAGAATATAATGGATAAACTAGTTTGACTGATTTGTTAAAGGACAAAATAACAAAAGCGTTTGTTCTACTCTATCGCTACGAGGAAATACGAGTAAGATAACTATATATATATCAGTCATGCTTGTAATATAGTATAGGAAACCAGCTGCTTATTCAGACAGTGATAATAACAACAAAATAGTCGGTTGTAATAATAACACATGGTGCACAAATACTTTTGGGGCGAATCAATTTTTAAATTCCGTGTTTCATAAACCCTGTGAGCAAAATTTTGTTTTCTTTTGAACTATATCAGTTTTATCGGTATTCGAAATTCCTATTTGAAAACGGTATGAGAAGTACTCATAAAATAATTAGTTAATAAAAACGAATATGTAATAGAGTGCTCATGTAAATCAATTAGTTTTAGTAAATTTAAATCTAACTGATGTTCTGTTTTATTTATATGATAGTATGTTTATTATTTGTCAATGAGAGAAGAGTGAAAAATTCAAAAAAAACTAGAGTTATCAAACTAAAAGCAGAGAGAAATATGCTTTTTCATAACCGCGATTAAAGTTGAATCGATTTCTTAAAAAGAAAATCGTTAAGATATTGTTATGCATCTTTAGTGTCGTCAATTTTACATCGTAGACTCAGTGGTATTCTATATTATTTTACATTGAAATATATAACGGAAGAATACGAAATGTTTTAGATGAATAGCATGCTCTAAATCGTTTGATCAATCTGTTACACACCATTATCATATCAATTGATATATTTGAAGCTAACCAATAACTAAATAAAAAACTATACATCATTGTGTTTTTAAATTTTGTTGTTTTTTGAATAAATGCACACAGATGTAGTACAAAATAAATTATAAAAAGTCACAAGGAAATCAAAACTTAGAATATTTTCATTTTAGATAACTAAACAAATAATTGATCACAAAAAAAACTTCATTTTTTTAGTGGAATCATGTCTATGCAGTATAAAAAAGTATTATGTAAAAACTTTGAATGAATTCATTATATTTTTAATTAAAATCTGTCTTAATCAATCATTTGATGTCCGTTGTAAGTTTTTTTTCGAAGATGTAAAGAAGTAATGTCGTATTATAATTAAACTGCTGATCTTGTTATTAATAGATCAAGCAAAAGTCATCGATGACAATCGTTGAGTCAATACCTTAATTGACGTGTCAATATTCTCTGTTGATAATACAGCATAATTAAAAAACTTATGAATTGTATCAAAATTCTACGAACAATCTTTTTGTTTTATTTGTTAGAAAAGAATAGAAATATATATGTATATGCAAAAAGAATTTTCAGAACAAAAGTTATGTCTATCAAGAATAATTTATATCTGATGTAGTATATTTAACATTTGATGAATTAAATTGTTGTCTATTTAAATCTTGTTCAGTAACATTTGCTAAATTCATAGCATGTTGAATTTTTTTTTCTAATTCTCGAACAGCTTTTTGTTTAGTATTTTGTTCGGCTAATAATGGACGTTGTTTAACACGTTCATTCATTGCTTCTAATTTTTTTGCATAATCATCTTCACTTCGACGTATTGATTGTCGAATTTGACGTGTCTAAAATGCAAAAAAACAAAAAAAAGAATTTTTGTAATAAAATATAAGTTTATATTACTTTTTCTTCTTGTTTTGCTTTTGAAACAGTTGCTTGATGTTGTAATTCTGCTTTTTCACGAATTGTCTCTCTAACTCGTCTTTCTTTAGCTGATTGTGATCTGTGAAATGTTTCGGCAGTTCTAGTTTTTATTTCTTCATCTTGTCGTTTTTTCTTTCCAACTGCTTCTCGTAATCTTTGTGCTTCTGTTGTTTTCGTTGGTATTGATTCTGGTAATTGAAGACTTGTTGATAAATTCGTTATAGATGGTGATTTTGTTGGCATTTGTTTTCCTTTTATTTGAAATGTTTGAGCATGTCTTATTTTTGCATCATTTCGAATATCATCAAGAATTTTATCTTTTTTAGATGGTATCATATTTGTATATAATAGAAATGGTTTACATTTTGTAGGTGAACGTGTACGTTTTTTTTCTTCCATAGAACGTAACATTTTCGAATGAATTTTATCATAATTTGGAACATAATAACCATTTGTTTTTGGTTTAAATGAATGTTCTTGAAAATGTGTTCGTGCTGAACCATCAACACTCATTGAACGACGAGCAAATTTTGGTTTTTGACTACTAAATGGTGAACGTGATTGTCGAAGTAATTCTTTTGAACGCATATCTTTTCTTAATGAACGGTAAAGTGTTTGTTCGTCCATTCTATAAAAAATTTAAAATAGAAGAAAATAAGAATTTTGTTTTTTTAAAAATTTTATACTGTTCATTTTCTTGATGTCTTTGATAATAAAATTTCGGTAATGGTCTAGCTTTAAATTGTGGTTCTGATCGAATAATATCACCATTAGCATATGAATGTCGTCGTAATATTATTTTAGCTTTTTCACGTGAATCAAATGCAAATGGTTTTGATATCGATGATAAATAATCTTTTGTCATAGAACGAACCTGTTCACGACGATGACGTTCATCTTCTTGTAATTGTTCATATAGAGGTAAATGAACATGAGATGGAACAGGATTCGCTAGAATAAAAAAATAGTGTTAAAGTAAGACAATCGAAGATGTGAGATCCACACGTTCACTCTCAAGAATAAACCTGTTCAAGAATTACCTTTAAAAGAATAAGCAAGATTAATGTCTTCATCGACTTCTTTTTGTAATTTTGCTGCTTCAATTTCATACATACATTTTCTACGATGTACACTGTCCATATTCATACTATTTGTTAAAGAAAATGGTTCTGGAACTGTACTACGACCAGCCCAACTAGCTGCTGTTGTAGAATGACGATTTCTAAACATATATACATACGTATTGTAGTAGATCTTTCTTTTATAATTTACTTTTTTTGTTCAGAATAATTATCGAATTCCAATTCATTCCAGATACTTTTTATTTGATTTTTCACATGATCTGTTGTTAAATCATGTACAGTTGTTGTTGTATTTCCAATAGTTGTTCGATGTGGACAAAATGCTATGTCATCATCATGTCTTCGAACAATATTAGCCGATGTTGGACGATGATGAATATGATATTGAGCTCGTTCTTCCGTTAATAGTACAGGTGCTGAAGATTGTTTCGATGCTTTTGGTAATGGTGGTTTTGATGTTACTAATTTTTCATGTGGTCTTTGCATTTGTTCTTCCTGAAGATGATGATTATGCATATCAATTGATGATGATGATAATAATGTAGGCTCTTGATTATAATAATCATGTTCAGCTTGTGCTAAACGAGCACGTTGTTCTTGACGTAGTCCTTCGATTGTATTAAGAAATGATGTATTACCATTTTGATTATCAATCTCAACTTTTTCAAGTAATTTCTGTTGATATTCATTATAATCAGATGTATTATTTGAAAATGAATGACTTGATTGATTAAAATTGTCATGAGAATTATAGTGATCAACTAGTGAAGCACTTGTCATTGTATAATTTTAATAGATTAACAAGGAAACGGAAAAAAGAATTAATAAACTATGAGAACATTCAGACATTATTTGTTTCGTTGCTGAGGATATGTTAGCTACTATCCTCTAAAAAATATCTCAATGAACAATGTCAAATAGCGACCTCTAATGATAATGAATATATATATAGATAAAAATTATATAGTCAATGTGCGGTCAAAGAGTATCTATCCATATGTTAATAGTAATTACATCTTATCAGTGTTCAAATAATAAATAATCTTTTCTTTCATTCAACATTATTTAATTTATGTGATAACAAATATATACATATATCGAATCCACGCCTTATTCTGTTCTATAAATAATAGTCTATGTTACATATTTTCAATTGTCTGATTACAATAAAAATATCAAACATATTTCATCAACTATTTAATTATAATATAGATAAAGAGAATAGGATGTGCTTTTATACCAATAATGCTATTTGAATAGATACTCATACTTTAATAAAAAAAGATTATATTATAGAAATCTTCAGAATATTTCAGACGTTTCTCATTTAACAGTGATGAAACAGTTTGTTGTTTTTTCTTATCTAAGTAATCAATCATTCAATATCTATCTTCGCTTTGTCCGAAAAAGATTAAATGTATACTTTCACATCTGGACTATTTTAAAGTATCATAATACTGAAAAATAACACGCCACGATTATTTGTAACTAAAATCTATTGAAATATTTTATTACATCATTCAATTATCATTGAAATGACAACTACAGAATTATTCACATGTCAAAAATATAAATACTTCATAAAAGAAAAGAAATGAATGAGAAGTTGTCCTTGTTTCTAATATATTAGAGCAGACATCATTGACCTTGATTTTTCTTTTAAACAAATACAATTCAATACTAATTTTTAGAAATTGATTCCTTCATCTAAAAATATCGGAAATGTACTTATTGGCCATTAGCATACCTTCCATCTAATATGAAAGAGATTTTAATAAAACTAATACTATCCGTATAATTAAAATTTTTAAAAGAAGATTATAGATTTATTTAATTATTAGATGAAAAATTCATCGTGATAAAGATTAAACATAACATTCATTTATTTTCGTCAATGCTCTCAAATCTATCTGCCCAGTATATTATTCCCTTTGTTATATGTTAAACCTATGACTTCAAACTGTTTCTATAGATATTATTTACAGGAATTTTATAACGAGAATGTCAATTCATTGTTTCGGATAAACTTTTTATGTCACCAAAAAACATACCTCTTTTTTTTCTTAGTTTTTTTTTTTATTGTCGGCCACGAGAAAGAGTAAACGAGAGACAAATAAACAATATGGATGATATATGTAAATAGAAAAAGAAAGAAACTAGAACGATCAAATAATAGATAAAATGAAAAGACAAAAAAAAAGTAATATATATTCATCATCATCAACATATTTAGAAATAGACAATACGAACGAATAAGAAGAAGAAGAAGAAGAGAAAACATCTTTAGCTACAGCCACACACACTTTCTTAGTTTTTGTGTTTTTTTTTCCAAATTAAAAATAAACAATAAATCAAAAAAAGAAAAGAAAAATGGAATTCATATGTTTTAAATTGACCGATATTTAATGTATCATCTTATATGCATGTTGTTTTTAGTTTATTATGTAACGACATCGACAGAAAAAAAAGAAAGAACGAAAATCAAAGAGTTAAAGAATCGAAAAAAAAATGTAGAATATAGATTAGTTATGTATGCATAAATATCAGCCGGCGTATTTCATAAAAATTCTTCTTCGATTTTCCTTTTGTTTCTAACAACAACCGCCGGATTGTTGAACTGGTTTTCCTCCTGAACCAACATTAACATTAGATGATGCTTTAGGCGTTGGTCCTGATTGTACCGATGACATACGAGACTTGATTTCTGTAGCCATTGTCATAAATGCCTGTTCGACATTTGTTGAATTTTTTGCCGATGTTTCCAAAAATGGGATATTTAATGAATCAGCATATTCCTAAACAACAAAAAAAAGATTTTCATTCTTTTATTTATTCATATTTTGCTTATCATACTTTTGCTTTAGTATATTCAACAGCTTTCTTAGCTGTTAAATCACATTTATTACCAACTAATAATTTATTCACACTTTCACTTGCATAACGATCAATTTCTTGAAGCCACTGTTTCACATTATTAAATGATTCCTATAACGAAAATTGTTTTTTCATCTGATTAATGAAAAAAAAAAGTATTCTTACTTGATCGGTTACATCATAGACAACGATAATACCATGTGCACCACGATAGTAACTACTTGTGATAGTACGAAATCGTTCTTGACCAGCAGTATCCCACTAAAACAAAATAATAATCATACAAAGTATTTTCTTTATTGACAAGAAGAACTTACAATTTGTAATTTGATTGTTTTACCATCGAGATCGATTGTTCGAATTTTCTGAAGAATAAAATTTTATATTCAAAATAATTTGAACTATGTCCTGAAAATAAAACTTACGAAATCTACACCGATTGTACTAATATAACTTTCTGTATAAGTATCATCCTAGAACATAGAAATTTACATAGATAATCATCCGGTTGTTATATAATTTACTTACAGCAAATCGTAATAAAAGACATGATTTACCAACACCGGAATCACCGATGAGCAATAATTTAAATAGATAATCGCTTAAAAAGAAAATCAACAATTATTTATTATTGTATTAATAATAAGATGACTCACTATTCGGGATTCATTTTGACTGTTTTATTATTTATTTCCGTGTCTTTTTGTGTATTATGGAGATCTCTTACTGATCTAAAGATAAAATAATATTAAAGATATGAAAACTGATTATCAACTCTCGTCAAATAGACAGGTGAGAATAAAGATGAAGATGATGATGACTCGTGTCTACGTTGATGTCAACCTTTCTCAGATAAGTTTAGCCACTATGATGATTTATTTTTTATTAATAAGAAAAAATTTCATTGAATATTTTAGGTAAATATTAAAAAACTAGATTTTATATTGAATTATTGAAATAAATAATTATAAAATAATCATTGAACGTAATGCATAAATAGCTTAGAAATATTTAGAAGAAAATGAATAGAATTGGATAATTAAATAACCAATAGAATATGATGATTCATTCAAAGACAAACAGCTGAGTATTATGAAATAGTTCACAGTACAACATTTTAGTTCTTTTTTTAGCATTGAAGAAAAATGTAGTTTAACACATAGATAGTAAATAAAATACGATGAATCTTGTTGTTGTCAATATCATGAGATAAACGAAGCAAAATTTAACAAATCTGTTATCACATAAAGATGTATTTGTTTGAAAATTCAGTTCGTCTTACATAAAATCTCTGAATATTGTTCAATTTTTTACTGTTAATGAAGTCTAATTGTTATCTTTAAAAGCAATGCATATATGCCAGAGAGATAGGCTATTGTAGAGCACAAGAACATTTGAAGAAATGACTCATTATTCACAATAGTAAGGTGTTGAAGTTAATATGAAAAACATTCTCGCACCAATGAATCTGAGAGTATATAAAGAAACAGTTCAAATAAAACAACATGATTTCCCTAAGGTATTCTAAATGAATATTTTCTAATACATCCACAAGATGTTTGCAATCAACAGGTTTTTGTCATACTACAATAAAAACATTTGAAATGAATTTCATTACATGAAAGATGACTAATGCGATATTGTTCTTTATGTTTGTGTTAATGATGATTTCAATGTTTTGGATCTATATGTTATTCTCTAGCAGATGGTGTCATACATTACATAGTCTATAGGATGATATTTTTCTTCTTTTGAAGCAATTGTATATCATTGATGTAAAGTAAATTTTGTTTTTTCAGTCAAAAATAATACTTTATCTTGTAAATAACGAGTTAAATATAATTAACTATAGATTGAAATATTATAATTCTAATGTAATTGATATTATGAATAACTTAAACAAAAAAAATATTTTGTCGATGATTATCTAATTTTATATCCATACAAAGAAATAAAAAAATATCATACGATAGTCTTGATGACAAATGTTTGTTTACACAGCTGTCGTATCGTTTGTTTCTCTATACATTGTATTTAAAATATCGAATTTCATAATTGCCTTTTGATAAATATAACTGATATACAAACATTCAGCATCGTATCTCTACTCGTCGTTATATCAAAGTTAAAAAAATTAACTGATTGTAATATACATCACTTTTTACATAACTTACTCTAATTTAAAAAATTTCTATAGTATCTCTTTTCATTATTTATTACATGAATAATCTGAAAAAAATATACACAAATAGAAGATAATTTTTATACATAGATCTCGATTTTCGTTAGTAAAAAAAAACTATACAATATTTAATCTGACATAAAATAAATCAATGTTTTGTTATATATATAATTATTTGTCTTTATTTTTTTTATTTGGTACATTTTCAGCACGAGAAACAGTTGATATTCCATTAACAAATTTTGTTGTAAATAAAACATTTGCATTGGAAAACATTCCATCTTTTAATGAAACAATTATAAATTGAGCATTACGAAAACTTTTTCGTATAACTAAACCAATATTTTGTGTATGAGACATATCTAAAGCAGCATCAACTTCATCAAGAATATATAATGGTGCTGGACTATATTGAAGTAATGCTAATACTAATGAAAGACCAGCTAATGAACGTTGACCACCACTTAATTCGTCTAATGTTTCCTTCCATAATGAACCAAATTGTACTTTGATTTCAAGACCTGTTAAAACAAGATCTTTTGGTGCACGATCCGTATCATAATGACCATTTAATGATGTCAATTTAGCATTTGCATTATGAAGTAATGTAGAAAATATTTCACCAAAAGATTTATTAACACGATGCCATGCTATACGTAATGCTTCCTGCTTTTTCTTATCCCATTCAGCAACAACACGTTCAATATTAGCTTTATCTTTAAGAACTTTTTTTTGTTTAGTTAATAACTAAAATAAAAATTACAATATTTGTAAGAATGCATCTATAGATAGAAAATGAGAATTACAGAAAAATCAATGAGTTGGTATTTTAGAGGGTGTGAGTACAATGTATACACTATCGCCACACCCACCTACACCCTCTGTTGCTATGATTTATCTTCCCGACAATCCCCCCCTGTTTTTAAAACTAAAGAAATAAAACTAACCTGTTTATACATGGCTCTTTTTTGTTCCAATAAAGTCATAGCTCTTTCGTCAACATGTTTACTCATTTTCGTAACTTTTTCTTTATCATCTTTGGCATCTTTTTGCATTTTTGTAATATTCATTGAAGCAAAATCATATTGTCCACCAGGTATACCAAATTTTTCTTTTTCTTCTTCAATCCATCGGCCATGTTTATCAATAATTAATTGTCGTCGTCGAGCAGATTCTTTAACAATATTTTGTAGATCAACAATTGAATGTTTATTTTTTTCTAATTGTAATTCAATTTCACGACGTTCTTTTATTAATTGTTGTTCTTTTTGATGTAAAGAATGTATACGATTATTATATTCCGTTAAACGTGAACGTTTTGTTTGTAAATTTACAAGTAATTCATCAACTTCAATTTGTTTATTTGAAAGTGTTTCAATACCATCATTAAGTGATTGAGTACAAGTTTCAATTGTACTACGAAGTGTATTCATATCAGATGTTAATGTATCAAGTTCAGTTCGTTGAGTATCAAGTTGCATTTCCAAATCTAAATAATTGAAAGAATAGTTTTTTTTTTGTTGAAATTTTATTGAATAATTTACCTTTGATATGTGTTTGCATATCTCTTGAATGTTTTCGACTAAGATCAACTTGTTTTTCAGCTTTTTTCATTAATTGTTCAATTTCTGCTAATTCTTTTTTCTTTGCTTCGCCTTCATTTTTAAATAATTTTTCTAAATCATTTATTTTTTCATTTAAAATTTTTTCTTCATTACGTTGTGTATCTAAATCTTGTTTATTATTTAATTCTTGTTGTTCTAATGTTGTTATTTCTGTTTGTAAACGATGTTCATCATTTTGTGCTAATTTTAATTCTAATAATTGCATTTCATTTGTTAAGGAATCAATTTGTTGTTGTAAATTTTGATATTGAACATAATCACGTTCAAGTTTAGTTAATTCTTGACGATTATTTGTATTATATTGTCGAATATGTTCTTCTAATTGATTCATTTCAGCAACTATTTCAAGTAGTGTTGGACCACGATTTGCTCCACTACGATCACCACCTGATAATATACCAGCTGGATTATAAATATCACCATCGAGTGTAATAGCCATTGCATTTAAACCTAATTTTTCATCAAATGCAACACGTTGAGCTATAGCAGATGTTGAACATATAATTGTTGAACCAAATACATAATTCATTAATGTTTCATATTTTGAATGATCATATTTAACAAGATCTTTTGCTAGAAATATTGCATTTGAATCACCTAATTCACGACGAGCTGATTCAATTTTATTTTTTGGTATTAAATTCGATGATATTCGATTCAATGGAGCAAATGTAATACGTTTTTTTAAATCACCATATTTAAATAAAAGTTTACCTAGATAATAAATAAATATATATGTTAGATATTATTCGTGGTTTAGAATGAAATAATCATATATGTAAATTTTTCACTCGTTAAATGACTCGAGTAGCCTGAGACTCGTACGATTCGATGAGGGATGTGCGGTGTCAGTGTAAAAACTGAAAAAATTGGCACTGAAGTCACTGACACTGAGCTCACTGAAGCACTGATGATGTCGGTGCGCCGACGTTTACTGACATAACTATATCTGACATAGCAGTAAACGTTGGTGTACCGACATCATCAGTGCTTCATTGGTATCGGAGATCAGCAAACTGGCACTAGAGATGTGCAGGGTAAGCATTTTTTATACCATAACCCTACCCTATGAAAATTTCTTTCACTCTGACCCTACCGTACCCTACCCTATGGTATTTAAATCATTGTCCTATCCTAATAATTGAATTTTTTTATCAAAGATTGAGTACGCACGATAAATAACTTTTTTCATTTTATTTTCAAATAATAATAACTTTTGATTATGCAAGAGAAAGACATCGTTCCATAGTGATATATCTAGTTAAAAAAAACTTACTGTAAACCTACCCTACTCTAAGATCCTCTTGCCCTAACCCTACCCTGCACATCCCTAACTGGCACCGCACATCCCTGAGTGAAAAAGCATGACTTCATTTTTTCAACTCATAACTACATTTATGATTATTTCGTTAAAAGATATTTTTTTGCTTTACTTGTTTCATCGGTATCAACAACAACATTAAATAATTTTCCTCCTGCAGCTAATTCTAATGCTTGAGCATATTTTTTATCATTTATATTGAATAATGTAGCTACTAAACCATGAACATGTTTTGTTCGATCAAAATTTGGTGTTGGATTTGTATATTGAAAATCTAATTGATGATTTTGACGTTTCATTTGTTGTAAACGATTTTGATCACGTGCCATATTTTCATCATCATTTCTTACATCGGTACGATATTGTTTTAAACGTTCAACATCAAATTGTAATTTTGCTAAATCTTTTTCACATTGATTTAATGTGGATTTTTTCTTATCAAATTCTGTATGCATTGTTGAATATGATCCTTGTTTTGATGTTAAAGATTTTTGTTCAGTACGAAGTTTTTTTAATTCACCACTGGAATGATCGATCTATAGGAATATATTTATATATAGAGAGAATAAAGTTAATTTGAAGAAAAAAACAAACTCGTTGTTGTAATTGTTTAATTTTTGTTGAAACTTCTCCACGTTGTTCTTTATATTTATCTAATTTTTCTTTATTTGTTAAACGACTATCGTCATTCGGTCCACTAACAGCTTGTGAACTACTACCAACAACAGCTGTACCTGTACTAACAGCTTCATGACGTCTTTGTAATTGTTTAACATGTTCGGTATCTGTAAGTACTTTTTTATCTAATTCACCTAATTCTTCACGACTTGAATCAATATCTTTTTCAAGTTGTTCAATAGAATTTGTTAATTGTTTATGTTGTTGTTCAGAATCAGTTAATTGTTGTTTATATTGAGTTAACTGTTTAGATACACGATCATTATCATTCGTTAAATTACGAAGTTCAATTAATTGTTTATCATAAACAGTTTGTAATTCAGATACTTCATTACCAACGTCTAGAATAAAAATCAAAAGATTTTTTATTTGTATATTAGTATTGATGAATATAATTTTTCTAGAAAAATATACTTAATTACCAATGAGCAAGGGACTGAAATAAACAATAGTTTGTACGATGATAGACCTAATAAAACTCGATGCTCATTTCTTAGAGTAGAATTATCAATAGAGATGTACCGGGACTTAGAGGTTCGGCCTCGGTACACCACTAGTTATCAACAGTGGGTTTTTTCATGACTGATATTCGATACAGTTTACCGTCTACATATCATTAATTCTATCAAAAATAGTTCATATGGATTTTAGAAGAAAAATGCGAATACTATAATTTATTGATGTTTACTTTTTCTCCTGGAACCAATCTATGATAATATAATAAAATGAATTTTTCTCTTAAAGAATAATCAACTGTTAGAGGTTGTTCAAAACTAGCTAATTCCTCAATACAGGTTACAGGATTAATACCAAAAGATGTGTATATACAAAAAGTATTACATATATTTGTCGAAGAACTTACTTTCATTTCTTTCTTTTTCAATAATTTTGACTTCACTATGAATTTGTTGAATTTCATCTGTAATAACTCCATTTCTTTTTTGACATTGATTTGTTTGTAATTCCATATTTTCAACATCAGTTTCTGTTTGTTTAACTGATGTTATTAATTGCCAATATTCATAAGCAATTAATTGATCATTAACTAATTTATAACGTTTTTTTAATTCCGTATACATTTTATAATTTTGTTCATCTTGTTGTAATTTATTAATTGTTGGTGTTATATCAGTATCAATTGTTGTACGAATTTCTTTTAATTTATCATCTTTTTTTGCTATTGTTTTTAAAGCTTCAGCTTTTTTTTGATCATACATACGTGTACCAGCTGCTTCTTCAATTAAACCAAGAATTTCTTGTGGTTTGGATTTTGATACTTTTGTTACTTGACCTTGTAGAATAAGAAAACGTGGATTATTAACATTTAATGAAACAGATTTAAATAAATCATGTATTGCTGATTGTGTTGCATTTTTTCCATTTAATAAATACTTCGATTTATTTGATTCGACTATTCGTGTAACAGTCAATTCATCAACTAGATTAAAAAAGAACAGATTTTTATTAAATTAAATAAAAATAAAAAAACAACATACACATTTTATAACCATCAGGTGCTTGTTCTTTATTTCGATTATCGAACATAATTGAAACACTAGCTCGTGTTACACCAGCAGTACCTTGTTTATAAATAAAATCTGATAATGCTTGTGCACGAACTTGAGATAATGATGTTATGCCCATAACGAAACATATCGAATCAAGTATATTCGATTTTCCACTACCATTTAAACCTGTTATAGCATTGAAATGTTCATCAAATGGACCAACAGTTGTTCGAGTGGCATAAGATTTAAAACCTTCAAGAACAATTTCACGTATATGCATTGTATAAACAAACTTATACGAATATCATTCAATGTTATTTTCCTTGTATTCGTTCGTTCATCTAACGACGATTTTCTTTCTTTCTTTTAAAATGTATAAAAGAATATCGGAAACGACAAATCAATAATTAATATAGATGTCAGTTTGTTAAAGTTTAGAAAATATTATTTTTTTGAATAAAATATAATTTAACATATACTAAACGATACAAAATATTCTTTCATTTATTAATGGTCATAGAGAGTGTTTTTTAAATAGAATCATTCAAATGATACTCTTGAATATTATCATTACATTTGATCTTTATTAAAACATGAAGTCAAAGCAATTGACTTCTATCAATAAGCTTTACGTTTTGATCATCTAGATATTGTAAGGATCGCTCGTTTTAGAAACAAAGACGCACCGAAACCTGTCTGCGAAGATTTCTCTGACTATTTTCTTTCGACTTATGGTCTTTCATGTTTTTTCAGGAAAAATGTGATGGTAAACTATATTTTAATGACTAAAATATCTTATTAATCGCAGTCAGGAACAAAGTTCGTTGATATATTCAACACATAGTACTCAACTTGATTATTTCATTATTGATAACAAGTTTCTAATTAGTCATTCAAATATATTTGTGAATACTTGATTTTCATCATTTACAATTTGTATTTTAAAAGATTTTCTCATGCATATTATAAATTTTTGAAAAGCGAGATCATCGCTTCAGTGATTTAGATGAAAAGGAAGATACTAAAAATATTAGAACTCTACATGAGTCATCAAATTATTATTTTTTGTGATAATAATAAATTTTAAAAGTACGTCACGAATGCATATAAAATATATATATATATATAAACAACGCAATTTTTTAGTATTTCCATTAGAGTTCATCATAAAAATAATATTTTTTCAAAATTCTCTTTAGAAACTACATACTTGTTTTTACTTCTAAGTAATTTTATTTTATCATATTCATTTACTTTTTGGAAAAGATGGCCGATGCAACGTATATCATACTCATGCTTAACATTATCTTTCTTTTAATTGCTACTATAGCAACAACAATCTATTTACTATCGATTATTTTAGTTCCACGTTTTCATACTGCCACAAATATCTTAATAGGTAATGTTTGTGTGACCTGTATTATTTGTTGTATTTATTGGATTGTGTTTTGTATTCTATACAATTTTTACCTATATGATATAAGTCAATCCAGATTTTGGTGTTTTTTTTCTAAGCATGTTGGAACAGTGACCAGTATTTTATTTATTTATTCTGTAATAATGATTACTATAAATCGTTATTTAACAATAAGGTATCCAAACAAAAGATTTTTTCAAAGACGAACATGGCCTTTTATATCGTCTAGTATCCAATGGATAATATCTATCATGTTACCAACACCTTATCTCATTTTTTTAGTTGAGGTAAATATCATAGTGATAGCAATGTTAATTCAAATAATAAGTTTTCTTTTATAGGGATGCGCAAGTCAAGAGCAAACACCGTATTGGTTACGAGTCTATACCTTTGCTCTTTTTATCATTGGACCATTGATTCTTAATACTATTTTTAATTCATTGATATTTATTATGGTTCGAGCTTCGACCCGACGTGTTGCTCACGCGGTGGCAACAACCACCACCACAGGTTCAATTACCAAAATGAATCATTCTTGTAATACTCGAGATCTTCGTTTAATTAAGCATATGCTTTTTATTTTTTTTGTAAACATATTTGGATGGGGACCTGCTGCTTGTATTTTACTTTTGAATGTAGATGATGGTGTAATTTTAACGGTTTCTCAATATGTACGATTACCACCTTTAATCAGTTCATTTATCGTTGTAATCGATTTGTTCGTCTATAATCGTGATCTAACAAAATATCTTAAAGAAAAATTTTTTAGATATTTACATATAAAATAAATATTCTATCCTCAACAAGAGGATACAGAACTAATTTTTGGTTCAAATCAATGTTTTCTTTTACAAAAAATAAAATTCATTTATTATTATTTATTTTCTCACTATGACATAATAATATTTAATCATGCAGAGTTTAATATTTTTATTTTTCATTAGCAAACGATAACTATTTCTATAGAATAATTAGTAGAAATTTCAAAGTCGCAATAAAATTTTTATGATTCTTTATTTAAACTAATTGTAAAGGTCGTCATCTATCAGTGAAGCATATTTTATGAATGCATGCTTGTCTTCTTCTTTTAACAATTTTAATGAACGTAAAAAGTTATCAGCTGAGTACTATATACTATTGTTCGATAGCAGTCAGAATGAAACTGTAAAAATGTTCTCTAAGTACAATCAAAAAGAATTTCTGACAAATTTAGACATGTTCATTAATTTTTTTAAATAAGAAGCGCTTCAATAGTTTTAATGAAAGCAGAAAATGAGTAGATAAAATATGTATGAAGTATAACACATCTCAGGGTTTTTTTCCGGTAATAGCAACTAAAAAGGTGATGCACCTTTAATGTAGACAAAGAGCACATAGAATGGGAGAAGTTTGTTATTCCTATTCAAGTCTACTTTAGAGAATATATTACCATAGATTTTTTTATTTTAGCATTCAAACATTCTCTTTTATCATTGATAAAAACTTTTTATTATTTTTAAGAACAGTAAACATGGCTAAAGTAGTTTATATTATTACATTGGTGGATCTTACCCTTCTTTTGGTTACTAGTGTATTAATGTTAATTTATCTGTTATCTATTATTTTTGTTAAACGATTTCATACTACAAGCAATATTCTAACTGGTAATGTCTGTTTAGCTGGTATTATTTGTACTATCTATTGGGTTATAGATATTGTTGTATCTGTCTTTTATCCGGCACTTCTCGATGATTATATTGTCTTATGTATTCTTAGTCAATGTTTTCCAACAATGTTCAATTGTTTAACGATTTACTCGTTAGTAATAATAACTATAAATCGATTTTTTACAGTTGTTTATCCAAAAAAAAGATTATTTCAGAGAAAAACATGGTGTTTTATCTCCATAATTGTACAATGGATAACTGCTATTTGTGTGCCTATACCTCAACTGGTTTTTGATTGTCAGGTAAATATAGCATATATAAAAATTGATAATAAGTTCTTGAATTTTAGTCTTGTACATACAAAACTCCATTACCACACTGGATTAATGTTTATAAATTATTAGTGATTGTTATAATTCCTTCGATTTTAAAACTTGTTTTCAATGCGATGATATTTTCCTTCGTACGATCGTCAAGTAAACGTGTACATACTACGACAGCAACAGCTATAGCACCTGTTGCAAATTTAAAACATCAACATAATCGAGATATGTATTTACTCAAACACATGCTTTTTCTTCTTACTGTGTTTGTTATTGGATGGGCACCCGTTTACCTCATAGCAGCCATTGATCCTACTGACAACTTACTATTATGGGTATCTCTGTTATTACAAATGTTACCAGTAGTGAGCTCATTAATTAATATAATAGATTTATTTATATACAATAATGATCTTCGACAATATTTAAAAAACCAATGCTTCAAGTACTTATGTTGCAATCGAAGCTAGATATAATAAGTATTATCTGTTGACTTGTGTATTTTTGAAATAAATTAATATCATTATAAAACTGAAATCATCGTTTCTGGAGAGATTCAAATGCAACACAATTCTCTTAAATTAGTGACAGCTATTTATAGACGGTATATGTCAAATGCTGATCATCTATCTGTTTCCATTATGATGTACCATATACATTTAATGAAATAATATTGTTATTGAAAATTAGAATTTAACTATGAAACACCGTTTGATTACCAGTAGAGGTTAATGAGATCAAGGAAAATCACCAGTGTTGTACTGGATGTTCAACCTACTATTGATAGGTATGTAACAAAAAAAATTCAATATGAAATTAGCAATTAAAAATTATATCCAAAGATAAAAATTAAATTTAATACTGAAACTTATAAAGGTAGGCTTGTTTGAACTAATGATGTATTCTATAGTTTCAACCAATGATAATATCAAGAAACAATTGTTAGAAATTTTGTAGAGAAAATGTAGTATAATTATTGTTTCTATTTATTATCACTTCAATAGAAGTGCTGATGAGTATTCCTCATTAGCAACTAAACTTTTTTCTCTTTTCCATTTCATTTCTATAACAAAAATTTATTTTCAGATAAAAATATGACTGACGGAACTCGTATTTTCACCATCATAAATATCATCATTCTCCCAATTTGTATATTACTATCATTGATGTATCTTATTCCGATTATTTTACTTCGACGTTTTCATACCACAACTAATATTTTGACAGGTAATTATTGTATTGCTAGTGTAGTTTGTTGTGGTTTTTGGATTCTATTTGATGTAATAACTGAATTTTATTTCACCACATTCTTTGAATCTTATACTGCATGTATGGTACTTGGATATTTTCGTTTGATGGTCAATTGTTTATTAGTTTATTCTTTAACAATGATAACTATAAATCGATATTTTACAATTAAATATCCGAATAAACTATTCTTTAAAAGAAAAACATGGTCAATCGTTTCCTCAATTATGCCATGCATAATTGCTATTGTTCTATGTATGCCCACGATTATTTTCTCATTACATGTAAGTATCATGTACTATCAAAATCAAAAAAGGATAAGATTTTAATTGAAATAATTACTTTTAATTTTGTAGAATTGTGGAAGTATATATTCAACAACATTATTCCTTAGTTTTTATTCTTTATCTGTTGTGGTCATTATACCATCCATTGTCAATATTCTTTTTAACTCACTGATATTTATGTCAGTACGATCATCGACTCGACGTATTAATGCTTTGGCAACAACAACAACAAAAACTTCTGTAACAAACACAACGCATCAAGATAAACGTGATATTTATTTACTGAAACATATAGTCTTCATGTTTATTGTATTTATTAGTGGATGGGCGCCTGTTTATACAGTTTTTATTGTGGTAGATTTCGCTAACCCTATAGGCTTATGGCTTACTTTATTATTACAGTTTCTTCCTGCATTAAGTTTACTTATTAGTATCTTAGATTTGTTTCTTTACAATCATGAATTAAGACAATATTTAAAAAACCAATGGTTGAAGTCGTTATGTTGCAATCGAAGCTAGATGTAATAAGTATTATCTAGTGTGACTTGTCTATTTTTGAAATAAATTAATATCATTATAAAACTGAAATCATATTTTCTCGAGAGATTCAAATACAACACAATTGTCTTAAATTAGTGACAACTATTTATAGACGGTATGTCGCATGCTCTTCATCTATCTGTTTCCATTATGATGTACCATATATATTTAATGAAATAATATTGTTAGTGAAAACTAGATCTTAACTATGAAACACCTTTTGATTACCAGTAGAGGTTAATCAGGTGAAATATCAATCAAAAATTATATCAAAAGATAAAAGTAAAATTTAATACTGAAACTTATAGAGATAGACTTGTTTGAACTGTAATGGTTTGTTCTATAGAGAATGCAGTATAATTATTGTCTCTATTTATTATCACTTCAATAGAAGTGCTGATGAGTATTTCTCATTAGTAACTTAAATTTTTTCACGTTTCTATTTTATTTCTACAGCAAAAATTTCTTTTTCAGATAAAAATATGACTGACGGATCTCGTATTATCATCATCACAAATATCATCATTCTCTCAATTTGTATATTATTAGCACTGATTTATCTTATTCCAATTATTTTACTTCGGCGTTTTCATACTACAACCAACATTTTAACGGGTAATTATTGCATTGCTGGTATAATTTGTTCTGGTTTTTGGATTCTATATAATGTAATAACGGAATTTTATTTTACTACATTCTTTCAATCTTATAATGCATGCATGGTACTTGCATATTTTCGTTTGATGGTCAATAGTTTATTAGTTTATTCTTTAACAATGATAACTATAAATCGTTATTTTACAATCAAATACCCAAACAAATTATTATTTAAAAGAAAAACATGGTCAATTGTTTCATCGATTATACCATGGATAATTGCTATTGTTGTGTCGATGCCTGCGATTATTTTCTCATTACATGTAAGTATCATGTACTTTTAAAATCAAGAAAGGATAAGATTTTAACTGAAATAATCATTTTCAATTTTGTAGAATTGTGAAACTATATATTCAACATCATTTTCGCTTAATTTTTATTCTTTATGTGCTGTGGTTATTGTACCATCCATTGTCAATATCATCTTTAATTCATTGATATTTATCTCGGTAAGATCATCAACTCGACGTATTAAAGCTTTAACAACAACAACAACAATTACTGTGACAAGCATAACGCATCAAGATAAACGTGATACATATTTACTGAAACATATAGTCTTCATGTTTATTGTATTTATTAGTGGATGGGCGCCGGTTTATACTATTTTTATTGCGGTAGACTACGCTAACTTGGTAGGCTTACTGCCTACTTTATTAGTGCAATTTCTTCCCGTATTCAGTTCACTTATTAGCATAATAGATTTATTTCTTTACAATCATGAATTAAGACAATATTTAAAAGACAGATTCTTAAATTTTTTTAATTAGTTTGTAATAAAAATAATCAATAAAAATAATATTGTTCGTAAAGAATTCAGACACCAATTCATTTAATTGCTTTTTTTTGTATATATGTAGCTTAATGGATTAGTAAAATGGAAAATATTTCAGTGCTTGAAGTTTATAGACGATGACGCCAATAAGTACACAGAATATATTAACAGTTGATTCACTATTCTCATGGTAATCAGCAACACATATTAAGGAAATGAAGCTTATAAAACTATTTTTAGTATACTTACGTCAAATTACAAATGCATTTCGATTGAATTGGTACTGATCAGGCAATATCATTGATCTCTGTTTAACTTCTGATTTTATAGTTTGAAAACATGCCATAGGTTCTCTTACACTCAATATTCCTCGTCTCATTGAACGTGTGATATATTTCTATTGGCTAGGTTATTTATTCTTACATGTATAATGAAAAATGAACAAAACAAGATATCAATCTAATTTATTCATTGATACTTCGATTTAATACATAAGAATTAATATGTTATCAGTATGAAATCTTACTTTTATTCTTATACATGACTAGACAATATAAAGAACTGTTCGCGTGTTTACCATCAAGTCTTTTCGTATGATACATTTTTCTTTGTCAAAATATAAAAAAGAAATTAGAACAAATGTGACATCTGTCATAATAATATGTTGAATAGTGCGATTATCGTTTTGCAAGAAAAACTTAATCAAGTTTTATTAAATATCTATGAGTACTTTTTTTTTATGAAAGTACTTTTGAATGTACTTCGACAAGTGTGAATAAAATATGTACACAAATGGTTTGACTCTGACAATTGGATGAAGACTAAATAATTCCCAATTGAATATGTCACTTTGGAATTACTAACGACAAGTGTTATTCTTGAAAGCTGTATGCATAAAATGACATCACTTTTAGTCTTGTTCATATCACATGTATCAAGCATAGTAGAATCTTTTCATATAAAGTGATGCTTGGCAAAAGGTAATTATCGAATAAATGAAATTCAATTGATCTGATTTATTAATCTCCTAGATGCTGTTGTTGCCGTCAGACAAAATATTGTATTATTTTATTGTTCTCTATTTTTCAAAAATATTCAGCATGTAAATAAATCATGAAAATTTTAAGCAAAATAACGGTAAACTTTTGCAAATTTTATTAGTCAAGATAATGAATATCGTTAAAGAATTCGAACTGAATGTGCGAAATAGTGTTATCATCCACTAAGATTAGATATGTCATATGCTATTTCCTTTCTTTACAGAAAGTCAAATAGATTCGTGTTACAATATGGCTAAAAATCTTCATCATATTATACATTCTCATATAATAGTTACTCAAACTAAGTTAAATTGTGACTAAGAGCATAAAATAGAAATGACTTTTAGACTTACTCTAATCTAGGCATTCTATTGTGTATGATTTTATATTATATCAAATTAACGTTCTTTCTCAATTAGATGAAGTAGACGATACTGTTAATTTTTGTTTACTCGAGTTCATTTATTGAATAAAAAGGATCGATGAAAAAATACAACTCATATTTTACAGACAAACGTAAATAGCAAGCTTTACTAACGTCCCATTTTGCTCATTGTATGTAACATATCATGTAGATAAACATCTCAAAATTTGAAATGCTCGCAGTGAAATATAGTTCCCCTAGCTTAAATAGAAGTCAAGCGCGAGTCCTATATTGATCTACTCAAACTTATATTTTTTATATTCCATATATATATATGAATGAACGGACTTCTACTTTTGTGTGTGTGTGTTAATGATTATGATTATTCGTGCATTGTCGATTAAACTTTTTCTCTTTCAACAATTTTATTCACAGAAGTCTTTCCTGAACAGAAACATATTAATCCATCAAAATCAGAAATTCTTTAGTCCATAAAACGAAAGAGAAATGCTCTACTTCAACAATAATAGACATTTTTTAATCCACACACACAATCAAAAACATAATGATAAAAAAAATATATCGATAGAAATAAATCAATTTATTCTGAGTTTTGACGAAAAAAAAACACAAATAGAAATTATGTTTACTCTCAGATATATTAATTTCCATTAAAAATCTCAAGTGATATATTCAATTTTCTATTGATATAGATTTCAATAAACAAATTAAACTCAATTGATTATTAGATCGATATGAAACTATATACTTTAAAAAATATTGCAGGCATATTATTTTCTAGTTTTCTCTTGTTTACTTCATTGGAATATCTCAAAAGAAATAGAATTTTTAATGAATTACATGCAGTACACTTAATCATGGTAAGCATTAATTATTAGACAAAACAAATACTAAATAAGACATGATGCAAGAAATTAATTGAGGTAATTGTTAGACTAATTTAAATCGCAAAATATATCTGCCAATACATATTTAAGATCGACTGAAATGATGTAAGAAATATTGAACATTAATACGACATGGTATATCATCAGCTTGTCTATTCGCCATCAAATTACTATAATTTATCCTAAAGTTTTATTTTATAGATTTAAGAAATTTTTGTTGTGTTAAACAATTACATACATTAGGAATGGCACTTTATTAAGTAAAGTACTGAACTTTACTTTACCGACTGAAATAAAGTATTTATTTTATCAATCTATGCAAAAATATGATTTATAATTTTATTTCACCGAATAAAGTGAAGTTCAATTACTTTACCCGATAAAGATAAAGTGCTACTCCTAATATATAGTTATAATATGCTACTTAATACTAAAAAATAATAGTGCAAGACATTTAATAGTACCCATGTGTTCTTACAGTGCAATTTATACTCTATTAGTTTTTATTTCAACTTATT